ACTTTGGATTGGGTCCGAGCGCGCACATCCGGTGTCATCCACTGTGCAGCGTCTGTTATTAACCCCCAGTGGACTCCAGCCCCGAGGAGCCGTCAAGAATATAAGAAATGTCAACCGCAAAGTCACAATCACTCACAGTCACAACGTGACATGCCACGTTTGCCTCTCGCCACCACCGTGCCATCTTCGGAGCATTCATCTCCTCTTGCTCTTTTGGCGTCGGCCGACAGTGGCAAATCCCCAAAGTATTTCAATCCCCAACGTTCCTCGACATTCCACTCCACAGCCATTCTGGGCCAGAAGCTGCTCTCCCCGATAAATGATGGACCGAAAACAACCCTAATTCACGAGGAAAAACGCGGATTTTTCCAGGACAGTTCACCGCTAGTTCGGCCAATACTCTGAACGGTTTAGATGCAGCCTCTCCCCACTTTTTCTATCGCAAAACGGCTCTCCCCGGCGTCCACCTGGCAGACTACGTACAATGACAGCCACTAGTTTTCCCTTTTCCGGCGTGCTTCCTTGTGCTGGTTTAAAAGGCGAGAAAGGTCCAAATCGATCTTGACCCCGGACCGCCATGTCCACCGTCGCTGGATTCGTCGGTTTTGTCGTTCCTGGAACTCCCGCACGCGCTGCGCTGGATCGCGCCAGAAAACCACCATCTACGTCCACAACCGATGTGATCGACCCGACGACCGGCTTCGTCAAAACCGCCACCCCTCCTCGTAAAGGTCGAGGCAGCCGCCGCCGCAACATCGAGGCCGAGAACGCCAAGGAGTTCCCCAATGCCGCCGCCATGGCCGCTGCTACAGAGGCTTTCGACCGGCTGCATCTGAAGCCAATTTCAATCGCAACTCAAATGTAACCACGAGATCGCTCGCCGGTTGTGGCTGCAGTGGTTCACGCAACTATACGGAAGCTCTACGTTGGCCGAAGCCACCTTACTGCCTGACGCCCCGCCCCCGCCTTTACCCCAAGTAAAGCAGTTCTTCTCTTTTCTCGCCACCAAGGGTCAATCTAAGCTTGGAATTGCGGGCGCCGTCGGCTGGTCTCTGCGCACTACTCGCACCTTCGTTGGCCGTGTCTTTGCCATGGCGCGTCTCTCTCTCTCTCTCGCTTTCCTCCAAGTGTTTTTTTCTGACTGCAGGTCTCAGCTTCGGCGTGCGCAAACGGCTACTCCTCCCAAAAATTACCGCGAACAAATCAACGCTGTAAGCATTAACCTGGCATTTTTTCACTGCGCGCCCTCGTTCTCGTCTTGACATTATACAGGCCGTTCAAGAGTGGTCGTACAAAGAGAAGCTGCTTCCGACTGCAACAAAAGCCAAGCGCATCCTTCGCGAGACGGATCTGGTCGAATTCTTAGCGGCGTGTATGGAGGGCGCAGTTGGGATCGCCTCCAACTTCGCGGTACGTTTGTTGTATGCCCGACCGCTTCCCCGACTGATTCACAACTCGCAGCGCTTGCAGATGCAGGCACTGGTTAGCTTCATGTACACGCACGGGATCCGTCCAGGTTCCATAATCGACGCGAACGGCTACCAGGGCAAGGGCGAGCATTTAAAATGGGGGGTTCGTCATTCCAAAGCCAATTCGAATGTCTGTTCTCACCATCCCAGTAATAGCATTCGGAGTGGCTTGCATACGGCTGGGATAAGGGCGCCGGGCTTGGTTTATAGTCGTTCTGGATTTTCCACTGGAACAAGGGGCACCGGTTCGACGAGTCGCTCAAGTAAGCATCGCATTTCCCTTCCTTTTTCTTTGCCTCATGTGCATGTTGCAGTGTCCAAACGAGTATGCGCAACCTCGGCCGCTCGCGCGTGCACATTGATCCGCAACTGATGCTTGAGGCACTTGCCATTACGGCCGATGTGTTTGAAGAGGATCTTCTCAAACTTCGTGCACAAGACCCCGCCACCCTGACATTCCCAATCCGCCTGAAAATCAAGGCGACGGCCCGCGACCTCCCCGTGTTTCTCAATACCAAGAAAACCGACTCTCTGACGCATGCTGCAGCGGCTCATCTCCTGGAAAAAATCAGGAAGTTTCTCAAATGGACGAGTGCGTACTTTGTGTTATATTTTCGTCAGCGAGCGCTGAAATGGGCCCTAGACTTTTCCTTCATCAGCCTTCGTTATAGTTTTGCGTCGGCGATGATCGACCGGTTGTCCAAGGTCCGTTCATCCTCATTGTTTCAGTAAACCGGCCGATCATTCCTTTCTAGACCCATCTGCGGTACCTCATGGGCCACGCTCGCGCTTCCAACCTTTCCGCGACGACGTACCAGGTCCCCGATCGGGCAGAAGACGTATCGGGACAGCGGTTTGATGAGCACGGTGCTGACTTTGCGGCGCTCGCGCTGGCCCACTCATCCGTAGCTTGGAACCGGCCACCCCCGCCGGCTGATGATGCCATCAAGAACGATCCGACGATGAAGAAATTCGTGGCCGAAACCGCCAAACGTCGAACCGCGATGCAGAAAAATTCGGGATCGACAAAACGGCTCAAGAGCTTTTCGAGGAGGTAAGCATCGCTTCGTGTACCTTTGCATTCTGACGCTGCGCGCAGGGGAAGCAAGATGAACTGATACTTAACGTACTTGAAATTACCGCGGAGACTCTCGAGTATTACATGACGCTTTCATCCGGGGTACGCCTTATCTCGCTTTTCTCGCAGGCAACACTGATTGTATTTCAGGCCACGTACCAGGGACCCGAGCCGACCACGTCCGATACAGCGGCCGTCGAGGAAGGACTCTACGAGTCTCTTCTTGACGCGTGGGCTGCCACCGACTCGACGCACCCATTTCTCGCCGTCGTCGCCAACGACCCCGTCAACCCTCGTCTCTCCGTTCTTCAGCGCCATCTCGCCCTCATCCACCAAGACGACCAGAAGGGCAGCCGCTGCGTCTGGTGCTTCACTGATGCGACGTTGACGCCCGAGCAGCAAAACAAGGACCACTCCGCCAATTACGTTCAGCATGTGATGGCTTGCGAGCTGAAACACCATCCCAACACTTGGCGGTGCCCGTCTGCCTCGTTCTCATTGCGGAGGTTCCGAAGCGCAGCAAGCAGGGGAAACAGTCTGCCGACTCTGACGAGGAGCTGGAGGAGGAAGAGTGCGAGGCGATCATTGCGGCGTTCGACGAGCATGCGGAGGGTTGTTTCCAGCGGCTGCTGTCGTTTGTTCGGGGGGACGAGGTCGAGGACGATGAAGCTTCTGAGAGAAGCGACGAGGATGCTCCGGCGACGGGTTCCAGACGTGCTGCCTCTGTCGCCGGCTCGGACGTCATCATGGCCAGGTGTGTTCCCCTTTTTTTCTGGCCTCGGATGTATTCTCATCGTCTCTTGCTCAGCGGGCGCGAGAGCGACGTCTCAATCCGAGATGTCTCCATGCCGTGCGCATTTCCTTTGCTTCTCTCGGGGCGTTGTCTTATTATTCGTGCGTTTTCAGCGGTCGCGACAGTGACGTATCCATGTCGTGCGTCCCTTGCTTTGCTTACTTGGTCTACAATTAACTGTACCTCTAGGAGTGCGCGCTCTGGGATGAGCTTCAAGCTCACGAAAGCCAAACAGACGATAAATGTCGATGTACCTGACAGTGGCGAGTACGTGATCCTTTCGTGAAACGACTGGATGATTCACTCACTGATTCTACGACTTAGCGGCGCGCGCGTTTTGAGTATCGCTATCCCCGTTGCGGAGACCGGGCACACCAACTCCAACACGCGAAGCCATCTCCACGCCATATTTTTCTGTCCCATCTGCCTCTTCGACGGAAAGCTTGGCTGGCGCGATCGTCTGATGTATGTTTCTGCTCAGCCTCCAGATCTCGCTTATTCACGTTCGATAGCTCTTTCCCCAATCTGAACAAGTTGATGGATCACTTGCCCACCCATTGGCGCAAAAACAACTCTACGGAAATAAACTACGATAAAGGATTCGAGTGTGGGATACCATCGTGTCCCTCTCCAGCCACGTACGTCCGCTCCATTCAGAAGTACGGCCGCAGTCGCTTACTTTGACGCAGCAAGAAAACTGGGGAGATGATTTCACACCTGCACCACGAGCACGGGTACAAGCTCATTCAATGCACCAAGCACTGCGGGGCGACGAGTACCTGTGATTTTGAACGTTGCGGCGAGGACCACCACGACGCGACGTGCTTCATCCTTCCCGCCAAGCCCATCTATCACAACGACGCTCTCCTCCTCGCCGACTCGCGTTACCCGGAGAAGCTCCGGAAGCCGTTACCAGATGCGACGCTCGTTGATTACCGCAAGGGAGACGTCATGAAAAGACGTTACGCTGTCCTGTGCAAGGCAGCGAAGGTTGATGATTTTTTGCCGACCGTCCCGCCGAAGCGACGCCCAAAAAAATCTAAAGCCGCATCTGCTCGTCGTCCCCCTCCTCCATCCCCTTCCCTCCCCGACGCCGCCTCCACTTCCGCGGACTTTTTGCTCAGGCGCTGCATAGCCGACGTCATCGTCCTGCACCCCGAATTTTCGGAGATTGACACGGAGATGCTCGTCGCTGCCAACCTCTCCGTGGAGCAGCTTTCAAGACTTCCCAAGAGCCGAATGCCCGCATGCGATCGCACATTCTCTGTGCCGGAGTATTCAAAGTTTACCAAGGCGCTGAAGAAATGGCTGGAGGGGCACGAGCTGGAGGAGTGTGTGAAGATGCTCGGGGTGGAGTTTCCCGGTGTCGTCAACGCCAACCTGGCGCCCAAACTTCAGGGAGAGGGGCTGTCGATATATGATATACGCGACTGTGCGGCGGGCGATTTAGCAGAGTACGGGCTGGATGTTGAGGAAGGGGTGTGGGGGATGATGTGTGCATCAATCGATGCGTGGCTTGCAGCGCGAGCGGTTGTCGATTCTGTGGTAGATTAATTGGTTTTCATTCTGCGTAGTATTGTGGAATCTTTCTTGAGAAATACTTGTTGTAGACTTCAAGAACTCGCCCCGTACAGATATTCGACGGTCCACCGTTCGCCATGGGTGCTTGGCGCAATGGTAGCGTGTTCGGCTTCGATTGCCTTACGTAACTACATACCGAAAGGTTGCAGGTTCGAGTCCTGCAGTGCTCAGTTTTTGCCTCTGTCACCTCGACCTTTTTCGTGTTTTCCATCCAGGCTTTTCTTTCTTTCATTTGTATCTACCCCGACATTGTCTGGGTGAAACCGCCTGTGGGCTATCAAATCCAACCCATAGATCTCTGGGCTGGGTATGCAGTACTGGCATCGTAGGATCCACTGAGCTTGAAGGGTCACGCAAGTTCTTCAAGCTTCCGCTTTCATACTCATTGCTCTTTTCAGCTGCCTCGGGGCAATTTTTTTTCTTGCGGGCTACTAATCCCCAAGTGACTCCCCCGTTCCCTGCTTGAAGCATTGCAATCTACGCCCCGTCCCAAACACATGCCATGGTTGATCTTGGTCGGCGTTGATTTTCGCAATATCCGTCGTTGACCTTCGATCGCATCAGTCCCAACCCCGGCTTTGTGACGCAAATATACAAATCCGTATTGCGCCACGCAAGCCTTTTGATCGTGACCCGTTGGCCGCCTTCATTCTTCCACGCCGACCCGTCGTGTTTGTTACCGCTGGCACGATCGTACCTCCAGGCTTTGCCATCCAAATTATCGTGTCTGGATCCCAAGATACCTTCAACTTCTCCGCAACCTTCAGACTCATGGATATAATCATAGATCCAGCGTCACTGATAGCTTCGACATGTTTTAGGCCGTTTACCAAGGGAAACAAAACTTTGATAGGCCCAGTGTCGTTACTCATGAATTTTAGGTACTTTAAATACCGCACCACCGCTCCGAGACGGCTGTGGACGATTGGCTGATTTCTCTGGGCTTGCGGGCTGCCTGCCTACCTCTCTATGGCAAAGTAGCATGATGTTTGCTCAATCCCACCGTTCCGTCCGCAACGCGGACTGGTCCCTGGATACACTGGTTCCATATCGCTATGCCGCAGTCTTCCTTGTTTTCCCGTCAAGTTTCGAAGGGACTGATTCTATACTTGACGGTCTCTCTTCGTTCCGCCATACTAATACCCGCGGGTCTCCGACGTTTCGCAAGATGAGGCAATCTCAGGTGCATGCGCCCGGTATCTGGGACTGGTGCTGTTCCCGATCGTCTGTCCTTTCCCCTCCGCTTCATACTAACAACTTGCTCCAATCGGTCATGTAGGCAATTCCGGCTGGTAAGACTTTTGCATGATTGCGATACGCGAAGGCAGAGGATAGGCCGTTCCTCGTCGAACTGTTACCTCTCGCATAACATTTTTTTTTGCGGGCTACCAATCCTCATGTGCGTCGTGTGCTCCGGTTCCCCCTACTTACCATACCGCCGTCGGTCTTCAGATCCTGCCGTATTGCCTTCGCACCATCGTAATCTGCGCCGAATACTCGCAGAAGGTAATATTGTCCGTGGTGGGCAATCGGGCGCATCTGTAACCCCAAACTGCTTGGCTTTTACGCAAACATTCAACTTTGGTCGCAACAAATTGGTCCAGTGGATTGTTTGAAGCACTGGCGATTACACGGGAAGCCGGTTATAAATTGACGCATCCAAATTCGCCGTGGCCAGCCGCCTAACGAGGTCCCGGTACCGAACGTACTTGGAGCTGGTTGCCCTCGATCCCACACTCTTTGTCCCATGCGAACAATTTGCGCCCTCTATTCAATGGCGCCAATCGTTCGGTGCATTCTCATCGTACTCCGCCGAGTGATGCGTGCGGTCGGGGGAAATGTGCCATGTGATTGAAGGTTTGGCTGTCTTCTTACTTCTCAGAGGAAAAAGTGCATGCGAGGACTGACAGGAGGAGACAGACTGCAACGACGACCCGGGCCGATTCGATACTGCAAAGCAGAGCTGGAAAACTGGGTTTCGGACTTCATAGCTCGTTAGGCGGTAAGTCGTGATTTAGTGAAATTCGGGAGTAAATTCTGACTTGGACGGAACACCGCCGCCTTTGGACATTTAACAGTCTCATTACGTTGAGGATGGCTTCAACCAATCTGAACATTGGATATTTGGCCGTGCGTCCCTTGTTTGTTTCTCGAAATCCCACCCTCTTCCATCCCTGTGCTTCTGGGCTTTCATCGACACCTTCCATCTGCTCCACCACACTCGCAGTGTCCAAGCTCGCCGTCCGTAGGCTGCCTCTGCGCTCCTAGCCCGCACAGTCCCAGATGACCGATCTCCCTCGCCTCGCCATCCCGGCTCACCACTCCCTCGACCATCAGACTGGCCAGGCGCAACTCACACCGGAGCAGATAAGTGAAGTGGACATTGGCGAGTACCGCGAACAAGACCGCTTCCTCCCCGTGCGTTTTCAAGCCCCTCCTTGCGCCCGCGTGACGCTCACACCCCCAGATCGCCAATGTCTCCCGAATAATGAAGGCCGCGGTGCCGCCCAGTACAAAGATTGGCAAGGATGCGAAGGAATGTGTGCAGGAGTGCGTCTCAGAATTCATCTCCTTCATCACGTCCGAGGCGGCCGAGCGCTCGCTGCTCGAGAAACGAAAGACCATCGGCGGGGAGGACATCCTGTACGCCATGGGCACGCTCGGGTTCGACAACTACGCGGAGGTGCTGAAGATCTATCTCGCTAAACTTCGAGAGGTGATTGATTAGTCCGTGCGGGTGGTTGGTATGCACTGACGCACCAGTTGACAGCATCAGACCGGCACAAGGACCGAGCAACATATCGAGCCGCGGGTTGACTGACCACAAATGATTCGGGATTATCACACATGCTCTCCATATCTTAACCATGTCTATCGGCGCCTGCGGCCAAGGTGTATCTGGGCTTCTTGTATTTGGATTGGGTTCAATTGTATGCTTGCTTATCTATCACAGACGTCGGGCATTTGTATGGTGAGTTGACAGCGCCCCAGATGCCGTTGGTTGCATTAATCTCCTCGCAAGTTACGAACCGGCAAGTGCACATGCCCCCGAGTCAACGTCGCCGCGATGTGTCGCAGCCACGGCAGCAATTTTGCTCTACATGACTTGAGCCTGTCGAATCTTTGTCGACACTCATGTCTTCCTCCGTCATGACACACGTAGACCCCTCTCCCTTGTTCCATTTCCATGAGGGCCTCAACCCTAGCCATTTCTCTCATGGACTTGTTGGTTCATCCGCTTGAGGACCGGCAAAATAGTTACAACCCCAACGCAAAGGTCTGGTTTGAAGGGCCCACAGCCCCTTAGGTGAGTCCATGCCGGAGTTTTACATCGAAAAGCCCTCCACTTCAATGTCTCACATTCCTCTTCCGCCTAATACCGCACTCCATCCGGGTTTCACGGCTGATCGATCCATCCATGTTTTCTGAGACTCTCCTTTCCGCACCTCATATAAAGACCCGCGGGATGCTCGGTGCGCTCTTGTTCCACTTTCAATCTCTCTCCTCCATCATGAACTTCTCTACTCTTATGACGACTTTTTCTCTCTTCTTCTTCATGATGGTTCGCGCTGCGCCTCCAGCCCGTGCAAGCTGCAGCCAAGGTCGCACGGCGGCTAGCGCCCAGGTATGTCTCACTCACCCCTGATGTCAACGCCTCTCAATTCCGCGCCAGTGTTGTGTCTGGTACGATGTGATGGACGACCTTCAAGCAAACGTGTTCGTCTTTTCCTGGATTTGCTCGTCGTTTGCTGATGTCTTGGTACAGGTTCAATGGCGGATCGTGCGGTAAGATCACAACTGAAGGCACAATTTTTGTATGCTTACCTATCGGAACCCAGACGACGAAGCTCCCGATGCGCTCCGGGTAGGTGAAGCTCAATTTGTGCATTGTTCGTGCTGACTCCGATGCTTGAAGCTCTCCTTTCACGACGCCGTCGGTATCTCCGCACAGCTCAAGAAACAGAACAAGTTTGGGTGCGTTTCAACTGTTGACTTCCAGTCTTTGGAATGTTGACTCTGTCTCCAGAGGCGGTGGTGCTGGTGCGCGCTTTGTAGTAAACACATAAAACTTCAGCTAAACCTCGTTTGCTAGATGGTTCGATCATCGCATTCTCGGGCATTGAGTTAGCGTACGGGTCCAACGTACGTGGTACTCAGTCTCCACTCTTTCCAACGCTCACCGAGCCGCAGGTGGGTTTGGAGTCCATCGTGGCCGCCGAACGAGCTGTTGCGGACGCGCACAACGTCTCATACGGCGACATTGTCCAATTCGCAGCAGCGGTTGGCGTGCGGAATTGCGAGATGGGCCCCCGCATTCCGTTCATGGCCGGTCGCCCGAGCGCAACGAAGGAAGCGCCCGAGTTCTTGGTCCCGGAGCCGTTCCACGACGTAACAACGATCCTTGCGCGCGTGGCCGATGCTGGGCTGACGGGCCCGGACTTGATTGCGCTCCTCGCGTCGCACAGCATGGGCGTCCAGGAAGACGTTGACCCGGTGAGAAGTCAATTCCCTCGCGCTGCTGAGTTTGCTCTTACGTGAATTAGAGCATTACCGGCATGGGCTTCGACACTACTCCGAGAATATTCGACGTCGCATTTTACAATGAGGTCGGTGTATTCGCAGCAACACCCCATCTGCGCGCTGACAGGTCTGACATGCAGACCTTTTCCAAAAAAGGAACCATGATTCCTGGAGACTTATTACACAAGGGCGAAGCGCTGTCCCCGAGCAAGAGCCAGTTCCGTCTCCAATCCGATGTCGCCCTCGCGCAGTATGATTTTCGCACCTGCAATTTTGGCTTCTTGGCTCACTCGTATCTAGCGACCCCCGTACAGTCGCTACCTGGGTGGCATTATCCGGTGAGTCTCACTGCCAATGGTCCTCTTGCATCATACTGACGAATATAAAGTCAACCAAGGACTGATGGCATCCCGCTTTGCGGCTGCGATGGCGAAGATGGCGCTGCTTGGGCAGAACGCCCGGGCCTTGACGGATTGCTCCGAGGTTATCCCCAAGTGAGGAGAGTTGGCCAACACATGTAAAACGCTGGGACATTTCATTCGTGTAAACTGTAAAGTAGCGTAGATGTTGCCAATTCACACATGATATGGTTGGAATTGATCCATGCACAGGCCCCTGTCGTAAATTTGGTTCTAGGGTTCAAGATTGA